GAAAAAAAAAAACAACAAAAAACCAAAAAACAAACCACCAACAAGAGGAAAACCCCCAAGAAGAGCCTGGCCAGCCCTCACTCACCTGCAGGAACGACGTTCTCTGCTCATTCTTGTGCACCTTCGAGGCCAGGCGCTTGAGCTCGGAGGCCATGTAGCCCATGCGCACAAAGACCTGGTCCTTGCTGGCCTCCTTGGCGCAGCCGCTCAGCGTGCTCTCCAGCTGCTGCAGCTGCGGCAGCAGGTTGGTATCCTCATTTGGCAGCTGCTCCAAGTCCTGGGGATGGGGAAGTGAAGTCAGATCAGTTCAAGGAACATTGCAAAGTTCCCTCTCGGGGCAGGTCAGCCTTGTCTTCCATCCAGGGCTGTGGCGGGGAGCTAGGCCAACACTGGGACACTCTGCAACAGCCCTTGCTATGCTGAAAAACTGTGTCAGCTTTGTAAAGGTCTGATTCCCAGCCGCTGGACATGGGACACCAAGTCCCTGGGTGGAGGGGAACATTACGGCAGCAGGTCTCCCAGCCCACGTGTTCCACAGGCCCCTCAGCAGTCTGAGCAGACCACACTCCCGGCTCACTGATAGCAACGGAGGCATCTGTACCCCGGCCCTTTCTCCCCCCTGAGCTCTCCCCATCGGCACCAAGACGAGAAATCCCAGTTCCTGAGACTGTCCTTTCCACATACGCCCTGGTCTGTGCCAGGAGCTGAGGTTTGCCACGTGAGGGGTGGTCTTACCCCAGTCTCCATCTTCTCCTTCCTCCTGTCCTCTGTCTGCAGCTCCCCTGCCTGCGGCTTCCCTGCCACCACAGCACGCCAGGCGTTGGGAACCCGGGCTCTTCAGCAGGCGGCAGCCAAGAGGGTGACGCATGGGATTTAAACGGTGGCCAGGAGAGCGCAGGCCAGGGCGCACCCACCAGTGTTAGGGCATACCCCCACCCACGCATGAGGGATGTCCCCAACAGGCTCACCCTCCCCTGTTGTGGCTGGTGAACTCCCCCATTGCCTAGGAGACACTGCTGGCACAACAGAGCCCAACTTGGCGCACCCGGCGCTGCCGGGGAAGGAGGTGCTCCGCTCCCAGCCCCGCTGACTCAGCCTGCCACCCGTGGGAATGCCCTGGGCAGCACCGCGTGGGGCCAGGAGCCCAGTGTGTCCCTAGCCCTGGGGTTCACAGCCCCGAAACTGCCATGGGAGGGTGTGTGCGGGGCACGGCAAGGCCAGCTCCTCCTACCAGCGCCAGCCCGGCAAGGGGAGGCAGCGAGGACCCAAGTCCAGCGCCGGGGTGCAAGCATGGGACTAGCTCTCGGCTCAGGCACCAGCAGCTGATTGCCAAGCAGATGTCACCCCATTCTCCATCACCCCATGGCTGCACCCCAGGAGGGTCCAACAAGACTCAATCCCTCCTGGAGCCTCTCTGGCCAATGCAAACAGGGGTGTGCAATGAGACTGTGTCCCCTTACTGGCACCATGAGGTGCAAGCTATGTTCATCCCCCTTTGGCTCCCCATCCCTCCTCCTCTCCCTTCCAGCACACACAAAAAGCCAGAGGAGGACAGGACAGGGCAGTGCAAGCCATGGGGTACATTCAGGTGGCAGCAAATGGAGCACACAGAAGTGCCTCAGCTGGGGCAGACCCTGTCAGCAACTATGGGGCTTGGAGACCTGGTTCTCCCACCCAGTGCCGGCATCGGGAGGTGAGCATCAGAGCATCACTGACAGCTCCCCGAGCCATCACAGCCCTTCCTGTCCCTGTCACATGGCATCTGGAGATGACAGTGTCCCTGTCTGGCTGTGGCTGCTTTGGTGGCCTCATGCCCAGGCAGCCCAGCCAGGCCACTTGTTCTCAGGAGCCCTTGCCCTTGGGAGGGCAGCCTGCACATTGTCCCCTCTCCCCACCTTGGCCAGGCGAGAGGAGCGGTACACACCGGGGCTCACATGCCACCACTCCCAAGCCCTCTGGCCCCAGGAGACATGGGGAGGACCAGCCATGGGGCTGTCTGTTTCCCTCGTGCCTGCAGACTGGCCAGGTCCCCTATCTTCCATTGGTGTCAGAGGCCGAGCACTGCAGCATGAGCACCATCCTTGGGGCCATATGTGGGGCTGGCTCTGCTCCCTTGGGAATGCCTGGGCGGTTTATCCCTCCTCTACCGCTTGCCCAAGGGCTGCCTTGACTCAAGGTTCCTCAGCCTTGCCTGCGCCTGCCAGCAGCTATACCACCGGGGCACACTGCTGCCTGTCTGCACACCCTCCCACACCCCTGGTACCACCACCACTGCACCAACCGGCTGGACTCTCCATCTGCCGCCCACCAAATCCCACAGGCACCAGGGCCACTCACCGCTCTCCCGCTCTCCTGGGGAAACCCCTGCGCTTCGACAGCAACAACCTCGAACTCCGAGGAGGATCCCTGCAAGGGTAGGCAGGCAGGTCAGGTCTCCCCAGGGAACAGCAAGCTACGGTGCCCACCATGCAGAGGCAGGGACTGCCAGGATGGGAGCACAGCAGGGAAGCTGACCCCTCCTTTCAGCTTTATCCCTGTTTCTAGAGGCTAAAGGCTGCCTCCTTTTGCTTTAACTAGATGGAGAGTCTCTCCCTCCAGCCGTGCCAGCACTAGCTCTTGCATTCAGACTCACACTTGGAGGAGATTTCCGTGCCTCTGTGTCCGGTTGGGCGCTGGCCAGGGCAGCATGTGTGGAGCTGGGATCAGGGCCGACGGCTGCAGAGAGGGGAGAGGAGGTAGCCATGAGCTTTTTGGAGAGCAGGGCCTCTCCCTGCCTGGCACAGGGATGCAGAGAGCAGACACCCTGCAATGTTGGGCACTGACAGATGGTTTCTACCCCAGCTATGGGGATGGGACAGAAACCTCCCTCCAGGAGAAGGGAGGACGGCAGTGGTTTGATACACTCCAGAGATGACAGGGCTGCAGGGCTTCATGGAAGTCTCCCTCACACCCTCTCCCTTCCCCTGAGCTCAGGGTCCTGAGCCATCAGGTTATCCCTCCCCACTGAGCCTCGCGTCTCCTACCTCCAGTTTCCACCAGGTCCTCCAAGGCAGATGCTGCCATCAGCATTTTGTTGTCCTTCACAAGGTCCTCTGCTTTCTGCCGTAGCTTGGATGCCTCCACCTGGGATTCCTCCAGCAGCTCTCCTGTTGTGGGCAACAGAAGGATGCTCACCCTCCTTCCCCAAGTGCCTGCCCTGCAGCAGTCCCATCCACAAACACCGAGCCCCCTGTTTGGGTGGAGAAGTGCCCAGCATGATGCTTCTTCATCCAGAAACAACTTTTCTTGGCCAAATCCAACGGCAAAGCTGTACCAGCAGCTCACTGGCTGCAGAGTCCCCCATATGCTGACACACAAAGCACTGGTTACAGGAGGCAGAAGAACAGCACTGCATCTCTGAGAGGTCTCCTCTGCTTCCCAGAAGAGATAAATTTCGGCTGGACCTAGGGGTCCAGCCTGCCCACTTTGGGGTCTGGCACCAGCAATGCAATCCTCTCCCAACCCTGGGTGGCTGCTCCCACACCAGTGGGTCCCGGTCCCAGGTAGGGCTATGGTGACACAACGGGTATCATGAGGCAGGTGGAAATTCGGCTGCAGAAGCGGGACTCGAAAGCGGAAGCTGGGTCACGAGACCGAAAGCAAAACCAGGGGCGGGTGGGGGAGGAGAAAGGGGGTGGCATGACTTGGCTGGACTGCATCAACACTGGCACGTCCCTGCCGCTACAGGGAGCGCCCAATGCTGGGGTCTTTGAGCAGCACCTGGGAAAAGCCCCTGACCTGACAGGGATCATGGGAGGTGGGGGCTTTCATCAAAAGCAGAACAGATCCCGGCATCTGCAACCTGCCACTGCAGGACTCCGAGGAGCTGACCTTGCTCCATCACTTGCCTTTTTTTTCCCAGCCACTTAACCCACTGTAAAACACCCCAGGAGTTCAGCAAAAGCCTTGCTCTCTCTGCACCCCCACGTGAAAAAGCCCAGACATCCTGCTCAGCCCCCCAGGACAAGGAGAGCTTTACTGCTGTCCCAGTGCCAAGATCCCCAGCTTCTTATAGCACCCTTCTTAAATAGAGCAAGAAACCCCCAGGTTTGGTGGGCACAGGCTGAGCTGCCCCAAAGGTGAACCTCATCCCCCAGCCACACAGCAGTTACCAATAGACTTGATCCCCTGCATCTTCTCCTTCAGCCGGGTGTTCTCCTCCACCAGCCGCTCAAAGGCCGTGGATCCATTCTCCTCCGAGCCCCCACCGGGGTCGTAGATGCGGTAGGGTCCTCTCCCTTCCATGCCCGCCGTTCAGTCGCCTACCTCCCAGCCAGGCATCCCTGCAAGACAACGGAGCACGGCGTCACCTTCCTCTGGCTCCAGACGGCACCGCGGTCCCCTGGTCCCAACCGTGTTGGGGTTCGGGGTGCTGTGCTGGCAGAGGCAGCCCTGCCTCACTGCTCGCCGGCCAGCGCAGAAGTGTCCCAGGTGAAGGCGCTTCCTCCTCCAGCCCTGTATGGTGTGAACGTGCTGGGGTGACTCACAGCCATGAGAAGTGTCATGCGAGGAGACATCACCAGCAGCCCTGGGCTGGCTCTCACCCTTACGGGGTGCGGGAGTCCCCAAGGAGGTCGCAGCCGCCTGTCGCTGCATCCCGGTGGGATGGAGACCCAGCCCAGGAGCATCCATCCACACCAGCGTGGACCTGGGTACTGTCACTGGGGCACCCTGCTCACTGCAGGATATTTTGGGGGAGCAGAAAGGGTCATGGGAGGCTGTTTGGGGAGGGACAGTGTCTGCAGCTCCAAAAGCTTTAACATGCAGCTGCCGGCTGGTTTGGGCAGCACCAGGGAGCGGGGGACGAGCCCCAGCAGCCAGGCAGGGACCCACTCTGCCCTCCAGCTCAGCCAGAAAACCCAGCTGCCAACAGCATGGCTTCCCGAATCAGGGCATAGGGAACAGCCAGGCATGTGCTGGGCCAGGAGCAAAGCATGAGGAGAGGAAACACCTGCACACAGCACACTATTTGTTTTTTTAATTCCTCCCCCAAGGTCTGGCCTGGGGATGGCTGGGCAGGATCCTGGCTCCAGGTCTCACCCACCTCCTGGGGGTAATAAAGCAGCTGCTGTGAATTACAGCACAACTTGTCAAAAATATCCCCCCCCCCCCCCCCCCCCCC